TACATGTCTTTTTTTTTTTTTTTTATGAAACTGGGTCTCATTCTGTCACCCAGGGTGGATTGCAGTGGCGTGATCATTGCTCACTGCAGCCTCGACCTTCTGGGCTCAAGTAATTCTGAGCTCCCAAGTAGTTCGTACTATAGGTGTGCACCACCATGCCCAGCTAATTTATTTTTTGTAGAGATGGAGTTTCTCCATGTTTTCCAGGCTGGTCTCGAACTCCTGGGCTCAAGGGATCCTCCTGCCTCAGCCTCCCAAAGTGCTGGGATTGCAGGCGCGAGAGCCACTGCGCACTGTGTCTGATTTGTATCCGTTGTGTATTACTTTTATCAGAACGTTTTTGGAGGTTAGCAGGTGTTTCCTTATATGCCCTTGCTCTGCTTCCTTTTGTTTCTTAGGTTTTTCACACTTCAGCAGTGGGAAAATGAAAGGTTGGCTACTAGTTACTTGTAACAAAAAATAAATCTTACATATCTTGTATATTCCATTAAAAAATAATTTTCTATACTTGGATTTAAATCATTGGTTAGTATTTAAAACAAGACTTAGAGGATCGTATTAGTTTAAGCACCATTAAAAAATGACATTTAAGAATTTTTGAAATTCAGGATAAGGCGTGATTGTTAGCCATGAAAGGTTTATTTTCAAACAAGAAAAAATGTGCATCAGAAAATTCAATGTTGGAGAAGTTCTGAAGTGATTATTTTTTTTGCTTCAGCTGGGACCTCTTTTCCCCTTTACCTCCTCTGATGTCCACATTTCAGAGTCTGTTCTATCCCACATTCCTATGTAACTGTACAATTTAGTCTTCTTTGTCACTTGCTAAGTAATTTATGCATTTGTTCATTCAACAAACACTGAGCTACTGTTTTATGTAAGGAAATACAAGGATGAATGAGACGTAGTCTGTCTCCTTCCAAGAGCCTGAAGTTTAGAGAAGCCCCTTTAGAGCCACATAAGCAGATGAAGAGACAGTGCAGGATGATGTAGATACCGTCACGTGTGAGTGTCTGCGGATGACACAGTGAAGCCAGTGGGCGCTGCTCCCTGCAGTTGCAGGAGAATTCGATCATGCTTGAGCAGAGACTTAGAAATGAATCTGTATTCACTAGGTGGAACACAATTCCCCAGGGGGTGGAGTGGCATGAGGAAGGTTCTGGAAAAACCATCCATTGAGGGAATTCTGAGTGGAAAAGTCGTCCATTGAGGGAATTCTGAGTGGCCTAGTAGAGCAAGCAAGGCAAGGTGTGTCCCCTTGGAGATTTTGTATGTCATGTCAAAGGGTTAATTTTATTCTTCTTGGCAGAGGGGTCTCCAAAACAGCTTTTATTCCAAGTTCTGAAATTCTGATCTGATATCCCGTGTGTTCATGTAGAATGTGAAAGCCAGAGTTAAAAAAATAGCGCAATATGATTAGAGCAGTGACTGGCACCTTTTCCCTGAAATATTTCTAAGCCGTTCTGTTGCCTGTAAGTTACTCATCTGTTCAGTTTCAGCAACGCTCAGTAGACAGTGTGATTGCAGGTTCAGCCAGCACTTGAGAACTTAGTCCTTTTCCATCTGTGTCACTCACTCATAGGGCCACGTGAACACATTTAACCATTAGGTAAGTGCTCTCTGAGCCTCGGTTTCTGTAGTGTGAAATGTAGATAATTATATTCACTTGCCTCATGGGACTTCTCCTTAATATTTATAGCTGCAAAATACTTCACAGTCATTTTTATTAATAGTTACCAGATGTGTCATAAGGATTAATGAACTTATGATCTGAAATGTTTTGAGCCCCTGAAACAGGAGGTGACTGCCTGTACGGGGGAGATGTAGAAGAGCATGAAGGTGCAGACAGACACTTGAAAATTTCAGCTATTACATGTGAAGGACGATGGCACAGTTACAGTCAGTTACAGTTTCAGTATTCTTGGTCGATATATTTGGCATCCTTAAAAAGGTTGCTGAACTCATACCCAAGGCCTGTGCCAAAAGCCCCCCTCATGTGGTATTCACACCCGTTGTATTTATGACCCCTTCCTCCTCTGAATCCTCTTTTTTTTTTTTTTTTTTTTCCTGAGATGGAGTTTCGCTATTGTTGGCCAGGCTGGAGCGGTGCAATGGCACTATCTTGGCTCACTGCAACCTCTGCCTCCCAGGTTCAAGCAGTTCTCCTGCGTCAGCCTCCTGAGTAGCTAGGATTATAGGCATCTGCCGCCATGCCCTGTAATTTTTTTTTTTTTTTTTTTTTTTGATTTTTAGTAGAGACAGGGTTTCACCATGTTGGTCAGGCTAGTCTGAAACTCCTGACCTCAGGTGATCCTCCTGTCTTGGCCTCCCAAACTGCTGGGATTACAGGCATGAGCCACTGTGCCCGGCCTCCTCCCTGCTTTTGAAGTTTCCGTTCTGCTGTCACATTCCTTGATTTTAGTGATTTGCTCACGTGTTCCCCACCAATGAGGTTGCCCATCTGTTGAGAGCAAAGCCCAGGCCTCTGATGTTTATGTTACCCGAGGTACCTGGTGCCATGCCCACCGCGTGGTAGGACCTGATGCAGTCTCTGTTGAGCTGAACTTTTTTACGTGGAGGGTGAGAACCAAAGTGGCAGGCAGTCCAGTCCCTGAGTCCATTTCAGCAAATATTTAATAAGCATCTATCTACTGGGTTTTTCTAATCACACTGGGTCCTGAAGGAAAGTGTAACTTGTTTGCATGTTCTGTTTCAGAGGGCAGGAATCATGTGATTTTAGAAAAGGTTTCATGTTAGGCACTTAACATCCCATCCTTGGAGTATTTACATTTTTAGGCTTTAAGGGGAATAAACTTCACCGTAGTGGAAACAGTTGCTCCCCAATCTTGTCCACTTTTGGTAACATGTAGCTGAAGGATGCAAGTATTCTGGAGTTTGAGAAATGTTTTTGCTGCTTTTGTCATTAAATATACCCTTGAACACCTTCCCATTTGTGGGGACGTTAAATACTATGGGGAGAAAAATGAAGACACCAGCCCCGGCATGCGAGGACTGCCTGGCAGTGCGGGATGCACGCTTGAGCCTCACTTTCTTCTCTGGGAGGCCACAGGCGGGACCGTGGAGAGCAACAGCCGGGACAGAAGGAACTCAGTGCTGGGAGGGGCGCAGAGGAGAGTCTGTTCTGGTCAAGGAATTGAGGTGGAGGCTGAAGATCTTGTTCTTCTGGCCTTGTCATGTGCAGTGGCCTAACTGCCACTAGGGGACCCTCCCTCATTCTGTCCCACTGGTTGCTCACATAGTTTTCAATGGACCCTGGTCCTAGCTGTCCCTGACCTCAGACCACTGCAGGAGCGCCCCAGTGTTTGCAGGGTAAAGTACCCATTCCTTTTGTTCATTTCCTTGGTCCTTCCACCTTTTTTCTTTTCTTCTTCTTTGACACAGGGTCTTGCTTTTTTGCCCGGGCTGGAGTGTGGTGGTGTGATCATAGCTCACTGCAGCCTCCAACTCGTGGGCTTAAGCGATCCTTCTGCCTCAGCCTCCTGAGGAGCTAGGACTGCAGGTGTGCGCCACCACATCTGGCTCCAGTCCTTCCAGGTCTTTAAGCCTGATCGCTGCGTTTCCTCTTGAGTCCTCTCCACCGTGCCTTTTCTCAAGTCCTGCCACTGCCCCCTTACCTTCCACAGAATCAATTCCCTCTTACACTTTTCTTCCAAAAGCAGCCCCAAGGCACAAGTGGTCATAGTGGTGCCCTTTGGTGAAGCGAGGCTCTTCCATGCTTGTAAACATGGTGAGCACCCTGCTGAGCGGACTGGCTGCTTCTGGGGCTCTTCTCCCTATGGCTGGAGTCCAGGCTTCCCAGTAGGAAGGCCTGCAGGCTCTGTCTAGAAGGCCTGACTCCATCGAGGCCTCAGGTGCCCAGACACACAAGAGCCAAAGCACCAGGACTGCCAAGGGCTGGGAGGAAAGAGGCGGGAGAGGTGGGGTCCACACCTCTGGGCAGTTGAAGTTCAGTAACCGAGCAGCCACCAGCTGTGCCCTGTGGACCCAACAAGGAAGAAGCCCGACCTGCAGCTGTCCTGGCAGAATGGAGCCCTCGTGAGGCCCAGCATGTGAAGCCAGGCCCAGTTCCTGCAGCTGGGGAGTTGGGAGGGTGAGGGGCAGAAGTGGCGTGTTCCTAGCTTCTTCCGGGATGAGCACATCTGTTCAGCTGCTTGTGTGTCCCACAGCCACTCCGCAGCAAAGAATGATGCTCTGGTTCCTTCTCTCCTCCAGCCTTCCCTTTTCCTGGCTCTGATGATTCTTTCCTCTCGCTCTTTAATGTTCCCTGGCCCATGTGTCCACAAGTCACCAGGCCCTTTCCTGTGGCTCTTATCTCCTCACCCCTGCTCTGTTGCTGGAATTGCATTACTGATCTGCTGCTTTGGACTTTAAATATTCTTCTGGTCAGGTTGTGTCCCCGCCTGGTCAGTCTCTCTGGCTTTCAGCTGTCTTCTTGATTTGCTCAGGACTCAGTGGGGACCCCCTTCCTCTCCTGAGTAGGGTTAGTTTCCAATGCCCAGGGCCTCCTGCATACCTGCGCCTGCCATCTTGGGCTCTGGGTTTGTGCTCCAGCCAGCCTGGCCTCCTTCCTCCTCCCCTCCTGTGACTACACTCCTTCCTCTCCCCAGCCATCAGGGCCTGGCGTGGCTTTCACCTCCTGCCGGAAGTCTTTCTAGATCTTTCCTGTCTCAATGTTTGTCTGTACAGGCCCAGTCCTCGGTTCACATGTGCATATGTGATCGGAGGGAGGGAGGGAGTGTCACATGCGTCTAAGTGCACCACGTGTGTTGGTGATCTTGGCATGCAGCCTGTTTCTCTGGCTGGAGGAGTAGCCCCTGGCTGGGTCCCTTGTTCCTTGGAGGGTGTGGAGCCCCTCGCACTTGCTCACCTGATGGGCCGATTCCCCTCAGGCAGGTCCTGGCCCTCCAGCCTGTGCAGCGGAAACCTCTCCGCTACCCCTGTTCTGTCCTCTCGACCCCTGACCTGCACACTTGCCTCCTCAGCCCGTGCCCCGCATCATGGTGCAGGCAGCCGGCCCGGACGTCAGGGTGACCAGGATGGAGGAGGTGAGTCAGTCGGGCCAGGGATGGCCACCCCGCCTACAGCGAGCGGGTGGCCCTGATGCTGAAACGGTTGAGTCCACACCCGCGGTTTTTGATGTTAGCATTCCTGTTTTGGTAATTAGCTATAATATAGGTCACTGCCTTTTCCCTCTCTATTTTCCTTGTTACACTTTTCTATTTTCAACTTGTTAATCATATGATTGCTAAACTTTTAGGTGCTTGACTGCTAATGTAGTCTGCTGCCTTAATAGCCCACAGCTAGGCAGAGGAGATTTCTATAAACAGAACAATCTCCTCCTTCTAAATGTTTGCTTAATTCTCAGTTTTATATTTCATTCTGATTCATGATATCAGCGTGAAAAGGCGAATGCTGAACTGGGGAGAAAATAGTCTCTTATGATCTCCCACAGATCAACAGCACTTCTCATCTTATGAACAGCAAATCTATTTTCTCCCACTGCGCTTTCATTCTCTTAGGAAATGCTCTATCTTCTTAGGAAAATTTTCTTTATTAAAACAACAGCAACAGAGGCACAATAATTTGAAAGAATATTCAGATCTCCATGAATTTACTTGTATCTGAACGACCCTTTAACTATCCCAGTGTACGCTGGGCATTCACGAATTTGCTGTGGACGGGATGGGGTGCCCCCTCCCCCCGGAGTGGTGCTGGTCTCTTTGCTGAGGCAGGTTTGAGCATCCCCGGTCAGCGGGACGGTCAGAGCAGGCCCCTTGCCAGTGAAGGCAGTAGCTTCTGTGGTTCATCATGGTAGTTTTCCAAGCTTGGACTTTTCCAGAAATCTCCAGAAATGTCTCCTTCAGTGGCAAGGGTATAATCCAGAGAAGGCACCTGGGTTTCAACTCGCAAATCAACTCCAGTCGAATGGGGGCGTGGCCTGGAGTGCTAGTCAGTGCTTTCCACCATCCTGCTCCCTCCTTTGTTGACACTGCAACTCTGCCCCCAATTCCTGCCTTTTTACTTCGAGCAGCCTTGGATAAGGGCCTTCCCCTCTGGAGGCCTGTTGTAGAATAATGTGATGATCCTTCCAGCCCAGCCCAAGCCAGTGACTTCCGTGGAAGCCAGTGGGATGATGATACTTGCCAATCTGAGGCATGCAGCTGGCCTCATCCTGGGACAGCCTGACCTGGCCGGCCCTTAGCGCTAGGTGCTGAAGTGACAGTGGCTGGCCTCATGCGGGGTGGGGGCAGGGAACAGAAGCCATTTCAGGACCCTGGTTACCATTCAGATTCCCAGCTCTCGTAGTTTTGCGTATTCTTCCCTGCTAGGTCAGTGATATTAAAACTAAAATAGAAGAGAATAAATAAAAAACATGGACAATGTGCAAAGGAAAAATGATTGAAGGATTGCCTAATCTTTTAGAGTATTTATGCTGGTGACAGCTATTGATCTATTGGATTGAGTAAATTTTGCAGCCTAGAGATTCATCACAAAAATGGGCTGTTAATCTCAAGAGGTGCCGTTAATTTCACACCCTGAAAGTGTGGCTGGTGGGGAAAAGAGGGCCCTTGGAAACGGGAATATAAATGACAGTTCCTGGGAAAACGCATGATTTATCAAGCTGCTGAGGTAAGCCAAGTAACTGTAAGAGACTTATAGATCTCAGCCGCTTCCCCGTTCAAATAAATCCTGTATTTCAAATGGAAAATGACCATTCCTGTAATATAAATAATTTTTCCGTAAATATCGGAAAACATATTTCTTCTGGATAGCAGTGCTCTCCACCCCACCAATCTCATTCCCTGTTCCCGTCTTCTCCTTTTCTTCGGTCACTGTGAACAGGAATAGAAAGATGATCTGGCAGCTTCTTCACATGGTTTCCGTTATAGACGAAAGAATACCCCAGAAACAGTAGGATTGGGGCAAGCGGTGGCTGCTATCCCCCATGAGATGTGGGCATTGCATGTGTGTGTGTGTCCTCTGCCTGGGTGACTCAGACAGAGTGACCGACATGAGGAGAGCAGCTGGCCTCACTTGGTGGCTTCTCCCTGGGGGCTGCTTCCCGGCCTCTCTCTAGGGTCCGGGGCCCCCCCAGCCCCTGAGATGGCACCTGCTTTCCATCGCAGCCAGAATAGCAGCCTTGGAGAGAAAGGGCCACGGCCCACAGGGAGCCTTTGTCTCCCTCCTCGTCTGCCTCTTCATCCCCCTCCTCGCCTCTCTCCCACCCCCCTGCCGCCTTGCCCAGGATGCCCAGCCAGGCTGCAGGCCTGTGGCTCCTTGTTGGTGCCTGAGCTGGCCAGGCTGTGCTGAGCATGTTCCAGTCCTCCAGTGAGATCATTGTTTAGGTTTTGCCGGAGAAAACAGTGCTCCTCTGGCCTCTTTAGTGACTCAGTCTCTTCGTGAGGTCAGGGGTGGGCAGGGCCTTTGTCTCCATGGGAGGAAAGCTCTCGCCCTAGCAGAGTTTTGGTGTGCACCTACTGTGTGCTGCCCTCTGTGGCAAGGGGTCTTGGTCTTAGTAGCATGCTGGCCCTGCATGGCAGGCGCTGGATTCTATTCTGTATGAAAGGTAAAAAGTAGATGGGGCAGGGGCTGTGGCCATGGTCAGTGTTCTTGATCCTGGGCACACAGCACAGGGCCTGCAGAGTGCACCATCGGCCCCTCAACCTTTGTCACTTTGGAAGCCAGGGCCACGCAGCCCTAAGTGGCAGAACCAGTGTGGGAACCAGGCCTGGCCAGGTCCCAGCCATGCTCTTTTATTTATTTATTTATTTTGTGGGGATGGGGTTTCACTATGTGGCCCAGGCTGTTCCTGAACTCCTGGGCTCAAGTGATCTTCCGCCTTGCCCTCCATAAGCACTGGGGTTACAGGCTGAGCCAGTGCCCCTGACCTTATGCTCTTTTCCAAGTCATCGCTGCCTGTTTGGATTGTGTTGGGAAGTTTTCTTTTCTCAGCCCCTGCTTCCCCCTGTCCCGCTGCAGGCTCAGCCAGAGATGGGCGCTGACGTGCTGGTGCAGACGATGGGGGCCCCAGTCTTGAAGATCTGCGACAAACCCGCCAAAGTGCCTTCCCCACCGCCTGTCATAGCTGTCACAGCGGTCACTCCGGCCCCGGAGGCACAGGACGGGCCCCCCAGCCCCCTGAGTGAAGCCTCTAGCGGCTACTTCTCCCACAGCGTCTCCACCGCGACCCTGTCGGACGCCCTGGGCCCAGGCCTGGACGCTGCGGCCCCGCCCGGTTCCATGCCCACCGCCCCTGAGGCCGAGCCCCAGGCGCCCATCGGCCGCCCCCCGCCGCCCACGGCCGCCTCTGCCGAGGAGCCCCCTGGCCCCCAGCAGCTCGTGAGCCCCGGCCAGGAGCGCCCGGACCTCGAGGCCCCGGCGCCCGGCTCCCCCTTCCGCATCCGGAGGGTGCGGGCCTCGGAGCTGCGCTCCTTCTCGCGCATGCTGGCCGGGGACCCCGGCTGCTCCCCAGGGGCTGAGGGGGACGCGTCGGCCACGGGCGCTGGGGGGCAGGCCCTGGCCTCTGATTCCGAGGAAGCTGAGGAGGTCCCAGAGTGGCTCCGAGAGGGCGAGTTCGTCACCGTGGGCGCCCACAAAACAGGCGTGGTGAGATACGTGGGGCCCGCTGACTTCCAGGAGGGCACGTGGGTCGGCGTGGAGCTCGACCTGCCCTCAGGTGGGTAGCGGGCACTCCGGGCTCCAGGGCGGTGCCGGGGATCGGGGGAGGCAGGAGCGTGGCCGACCTGAGAGGGGACAGGGTCCAGGCAGGAGAGGAGGAGCCGGGAGGCAGCGGATTGGCTGAAGCTGCAGGAGTGGCTGGGCCTGCGGGGGTGAAGCTGGGGGCAGAGCTAGTCCCTGGAGATGGCGTGGAAGATTCCTGATGGTTTTGGCTACAAAGATGCTGTACCCATCCCCCCTATTGCCATGGCTGCCCCTGCTCCTTTTGTTCTGGTCTCCCCCGCCCTTGGCTCTCCCTGGACTCTGCTTTCTCATCCTTCACCTTAGAGCATCTCTGCTTTGCGCTTGGAGGAGGCTCTTCCCCACCCCATGCGGACACATCTCGCTGGCCTCTGACTCGCCGTCATTTGGCAGTTTTGCCAGTTTCCACTTCATAGATTCAGCAAAAGAACCATTCTCCCGCCACCCAGCCCAGGCCTGGGTCCAGATGGAGAAGGGTCTGTTCCCCCACGGGTCGGACCAGCTGTGCCTTAGTGGCTGACCTGTACCTGCGTTTCCGCAAGGCACTCCCCAGGGCCTGTCACCTCCTACCTGAAGCTGCAGGATGGGCTGTGCATCCTTGGTCACCACTGCTCACTGTCGTGGGAGGCGGTCACTCCGTGCCCTGGCCACATTCACTTAGCCAGTCCCTGCCAGACAATGGCCAGTGTCTGAGTGCTGACTGTGCAGGGCCTGTGCCAGGGGGGTGGCAGTGTGGGCACATGGCCTCTGCAGAGGTGAGGGAGGTGTAGGGGGGAGTCTGCAGCTGGGCTGCCCTCCATGTCACCCTCTCCTTCCCCCACAGGTAAGAATGACGGTTCCATCGGCGGGAAGCAGTACTTCAGGTGTAACCCCGGCTACGGGCTGCTGGTCAGGCCCAACCGGGTCCGCAGAGCCACGGGCCCCGTGCGGCGGCGCAGCACAGGGCTCCGGCTGGGTGTCTCAGAGGCCCGCCGGAGCGCCACTCTCTCAGGCTCCGCCACCAACCTGGCCTCACTGACAGCTGCCCTGGCCAACGCCGACAGGAGCCACAAGAACCCTGAGAACCGGAAATCCTGGGCCAACTGAGCCGCTGCCTCAGGGCGAACTCTTCTTGGGGTGCCCAGCCCCTTTTGAGCCCTGCCAGTGACAGCCCTGGGGAGCCAGGAGCCTGGTGGCCTCTTCCCCAGGGGCGGGGCAATGAATGCTTTTTGCACGACACAGAGCTGGTGACCTCCCTGGGCCTCTGGAAGCTTTGTTTCTTCTCTACCTGGGGAAAGTGGGGGCCTCAGCTATACCTCCTCAAGTAGGATGGAAGGTTCTGGGTGCCCGCAGGGGCTGGGGGATGCTAGGACTGAGGCCCTGGGTGGTGCAGCACCTGGCCATCTTGCTGTGTGCCTGTGCCTGGGGCCTTATGTTGCTCTTTCTATCATTTCCATTCTGGTGGCCCCACTAATGTCTTAACCTAAACCATAGTTGTAACCAGTGCCTTTCCTCCCCACTGGAGGGCAAGCCCCCCCCGCCACCCAGGATGTCCTGGCTCACTCCTCAAGCCCCCCAGCCTCCCACCCTGGTCCCAGGTTCCTGCAAGTGCCTCTGGGGACCCCCCAGCCTCCCACCCTGGTCCCAGGTTCCACAAGTGCCTCTGGAGGGCCCTGGGCTCTGGCAGATGGCCCTGGTGCCCCAGGCGGGGGCCGAGGGCCTGAGCCCCCCATCCCTCCTCTGCCAGGGTTTCTTAGTTCTTTCTTTGTGGGTGTTTTGGCATCTTTACACCTGGAAAGTCTCTTATGTTTGCCGTTTATTCCCTTCACAGAAGGCTTGGAATGTATTTATTTATATTTATTTTTTCAAAATCCGAAATCATTTGCGAGCCGCAATCGTCGTCTGCCTGTGTATGGGGGCCCAGGGCCTGCCTTGCACGTTGCGGCCTCTCTGGCCATTGCAGAGCTGCTGGCCTCCTGCCTGGGTGGAGGGTCCTGGGGGCAGCAGAGGATAAAGCCCCCTCCTCACGTCACTCTATTGCGGATCCACAGTGGCCTTACTCTTAACTTGGATGAAAGCAAAAACCTGGGAGAATGATGTGCTTCTGTAGTCGGTGACAAAGGAAGAGGCATTGCTACTTTATTTGGTGCACTTTTGGTTTCTAGGAAGGTCTTTGGATCATTTTAACTTCTTGGCAACTCCCAGACCCTGAGAGTGTAGGGCTGGGACTTGGCGGCTGGGCGGGTACAGGGAGTGTGCCTGGTTTGTCTCCGGACCCTGGCAGCAGCTGCGCCCCCAGGCCCACTGTGCATGGTGCGGGCGACACAGCCGGAAGCTTCCAGGGTGGCCTCCACCTCCTTGCTGGGGCACTTCTGCTCCTGGAGCCTTTGGTGGCAGGTTTGTGGGGTGGCGGTTAGTGTCTGTGTGTGGAAGGCCACCAATCTAGGGACAGGAGCCCTGGGTCAGGATTCATACAGCCACTCTTGGAGCTGGTTTCTAGTTCTCATGTTTAGACAACACCTAGAAAGCGCTGTGGAAGACTCGTTCTCCAGGGTCTTGAAGCCTCCAACGGAGTGGCCTCCATGGTGGGCCTGTCCCAGCCCTGGCTGCGAGGACAGGTTGTCTTTTTCTCCCCAGTTGCTGTGAGGGACACGAAGGCCGAGGCCCCTGCGGGGAGGCACTCCCTGCAGGGCTCTCCCTGTTCTTAGCCAGAGTTTCGAGGGAACCCTGTGGCACCTGTCCCTGGATGAAGAGCTGTCACCTCTGCCTTGCCCTTTAACTCAACCCGCTTCCCAGCACAGCAGCTTTCTTTTTAAAACCCGTTTCACTGAGAAGTTGATTTCTGGGTCTGCTGGTGTCACTGTGGCCTGGGTGAGAGGCCGGCACTGCTGCTGCCCTGAGGGGGAGCCCCTGGGCCGTGTAGTGGGGACGCTCTGGGAATGGCGGTTGGGCAGTGTGGGTGGGACCTGGAACTTCGTGGTGGCTGAGCCATCCACCCAGCAGTGGCCTCCTGTGGCACCGTCTCGGGAAAGTCCTGGGGGACGGGTGTGCCGTGCTTTTTGCCATCGGTTTGACTCACAGTGGAGTAGAACGAGCCAGAGTTCCTGATTGGATCAGGTGGACTTGGGCCCAGGCTCTGTTCACTCTTGCTTCTCGGTGCAGACTAATGTCAGCTTGTGGCTGGGAAAGAGGGACGTGCAGCGCCGTGGTCGCTAAGGCATTGAGCCCCGCCAACCCGGGCCAGCGATGGCAGGAGGTGTGGTCTCGAGAGTGGCGGGCCAGGACGGGGTGGCCTCCGTCTTCTAGTCTGCACTTCTTGCCTCCCTGACCAGCAGACTCTCCTCCCAAGAATGCCTGCCCGCCTACCCGCCTTAGGACTCCTGAAGCGCTCCTGGAAGGCCCCAGGAGTGGCACCTTAGTGCGGGTTGGCCCGCAGATGGCACCCGAGGTCGGGAAGGGCAGTAACCGCACACACGGTGCTGTCAGAGATGGGGATGGGAGATGCTTCTGGGGGCTCTGCCTCCCCACTGCGTGCCTAGAACGTCCCTGGCCCTGCCCCGCCACTTCCCTTGGGCCCTTGTGAAGGACGGAGGCTCCAGGGTGAGAAGGCTCACTTCTGCCCAGGGCCCTGTGTCCGGCAGCAGAGGGGACGGGGGCAGGCGTGTGACTGGAGTCCCGGGTGCTCAGGCCTGACCAGAGGGAGTGGGAGGGCGGAGCTGAGGAGGGGAAGGTGTTTCTGGTCCCACCAAGGTGGGCCTTGTGTGTTCAATAAGAGAACGGAGCTGGGACGGTGACCGGTGGAGGTGTTCAGATCCCCCCGTTACTTCCTAGCATTTTCTCCTCTTGCCTCAAAAGTTCCCTGTATGTGAAACAGGAAGTCCTGAGTGTGTGTGTGTGGCTGTGTGCACGCACACAAGACGGGAGTGACCCTGTGCTTCCTGCCCAAGATACTGACCCATTGAACCCCAAAGCATCTTTCTCCGCAGAGTCCACGGTGCCTTCCTGGTGGGCTGCTGATACTAATGGTGTTGGGGGGTCTTAGAACAGCTTCTCTATGTGTGGATTCGTGTAAATGCGAGGAGTTCACATATAAAGAAGTGACTTTGATTTTGGGATTATATTGATTTGGTACACAGTAAATGGGAGTTTAAAAAATCCAAAGACTGTAATGACTTGTAAAGACTCTAATGATTTGTATCATGTAATGAACTAAACCACCTGTAATTTTGTACAATATATGTCTTTCCATCAAATGACCAACAGCTTCTCAATAAAACCAGATGATTTCTCACCTGCATCATGTCTGAGGTCACTCTTGTTGCTTCTCCTTCCCCTGACCCCAACATAGGGTTTTGGGGCTCCTGGCAGGCCATCCTGTCATGGCGTAGCCTTGTTCTCAGCAAAGGTGGTGGTGGGGCTTTTCCAGACGGAGACTGGGAGGAGGAGGATCAGGGAACAGCAGCAGGCCATGCTCGCCTCTCCAGCCCATGGACTCCAGAGGCCGAACTCTTCATGATTTGGACCAAAGAGCCCAGGGAGGCCTCCTGGTTCCGAGTCATCTTTCCTTGTTTGGACTTCAGCCCCTTACAGAAGCCAGGAACTATGGAAACTTTCTGGGGCCCTTCGACCCCAGGTAAGTGGTGCTACTGGGAGACAGGTGACCTGGTAAGGACTGTCCTTGGCTCTCAGGCATGACTCCACTGTCTGCCGTGACCTTCGTGTTAGTCCCCACACTGGACCTCCCCTTTCCCTCCAACTGGGGTGAGAGGACTTCTTTCCCCGCTGCAGAGGTGGGCAGCCTCTGGCAGGGCTTCTGTAACAAGGGGTTTTGGGAAGTGGGGGATCATGGTTGCGGGGCTGACATTGGTGTTGCCGGGCCCTGCTCGCCAACGAGGCCTGCATTCTGCAACCACCCTGCCCAGCTGTGCCGTGTGGGCCTAGAACGGTACTGAGGATGCTGGGTCCAGCCTTTGAGTCGGGGAAGGTGACCTCGCTCCCTTCCGTTCGCCAGTGGATTCCCACTCAGCCACAGGGCCCCAGCCCAGTACCAGTGAGGGATGCCCGCAGCCAGTACACATTCCCACAAGGACACAGAGGCACTTGTGGCCCTGTATAAAGCTTTTCTTGCTGTGCCAGCGAATCAGTTGGCCCTTGGATATGAAATACACTTGCAAGTGGAGGGCTCAGCCACTCCGAGGGCCGACGAGAGCTGTCCGTCAGCCAGCACAGCCAGGCAGGGCTGGGTTACATTCCTCAGTGTAGAAGAATGCTCGGAGACAAGCGCTGCTGAATAATGACAGAAATTTGGCAGCAGGAGATGCCCTGCTCTGAATGAGGCAGGAATCTGAACGTAAAATTGATACAGCGCCTAGAGTGGATCTTACTTTTCAAGCTGCTACTCTCTTGCAACTCAATGAGATGTCTTTTGTTTGCCTAAGGCTGTGTTTTTTTTTCAGAGTTGCCCAGACCCTGAGATGGGCTCTAATGGATGTCACGCCCAGTTCATTCCTTCCACTCACTGTTAGTCGCTTAACTAACATTCACATACTTACCCTGTGTCTGTCCCCATGGAGAGGACAGAAGCAAGCTTTCCTGATGGGTGCCATGGTAGGGTGGCCCTGGTGCACCCAGGAGGGCCTGGGGGGTTGAGGGAGTTGGCCCTAGAGTGCTCTGAGGACACAGGGCAGTCGGGAGATGTCTGGGCTATGTGGTGCACGTGGAGAAGGGTTGGGTGGGCTGTGGGAAGGTTGGTTCACCAGCGCTTCTGCTTAAGCAGAAATAGCAATCCCGGGCCAAGAAAGGGGAACATGGGTGGGGATGTTGTCAGAACTGGCCCCTATCCTCACCCCCCAACCCCGAACCCCTCCCTGCCTCTACTTGGCAACTTCAACAGGGTTTGGGGCAGCTGAAAATTTGGCGTCATCTTTTCTCATGATGCTTGTGAAGAAGAAAAGACACACCCTTTGTGTCTTAGGTTTCCTCTGAGAAGGGAGAGGGAAGCCAGGGCACCTTGTCCTTGAGTCCTGCTTAAGAATTTGATACCAACCAATGGAAGCCTTTAGAGAAAACCAGTAATGAAGGCTTGGCTTTATTTACTGTGTTTTTTATTTACTGCTGAAGGTGCAGCCCCAACAGAGACAGAGCTCTTTTAAGAAAATGAGGCTCAGGGCGTGGCCTGGAATGGAAGAGAAAAGCTGCATGGACTTCAGCCGCTTGGCGTAAGTCAGAGGCTGCACTCCTAGTTCGGGGAGAGCTGCTAGGATCCTGACGGTTTTAGGGGCGGCCAGATCTTCATGTGATCGTGTAGCTTGAAGATGGTGGGGAAAAGGCAGGCCGGGTGGGCATGTGCCATACTGAGGGTGCAGTCAGGGGACTCCCAGAAGGCACAGCCTCTCCTGGTGTCATCCAGACACGTGCCGAACGCAGGCTGGAGGATCAGGGAGTGGGATGTGCAGAGGGGCTTTCCTGGCTTGGTGTTGCCCTCTTACCCAGGTGGTGTGCAGCAGTCTGCGTGAGCCTTTCCCAGTCATTTTAAATGCACAAAAGGACCAGTGTTCAAAATGGAACACTTCCATCTCTTTGTTTGGGTCGGTCACTTCCCAAATAATCACTTTGATCCAAAGAAATCCCAGCCAGTCTGTATTCAGTTATACATTTTATTCTCTAATAGGTACAATACTAAAATAAACACAAATTAAAAAAAAGTTTTATTAAAACAAAACTGTACAAAAAAGCAGTATACTACATTTTAATTACAGAACAGTCTACTGTCCAAAAGGCACTAATCCAGAATAGGAGATACAATGATACAGGACTCATTTGAACTATTTTATTCAATACAATAGAGCGCTTGTTTCTTTGACCATTTACATCTAGAAACAAGGGCTTTTTGCTACAGCCATTACACATTGTTATAAATATGAGTCCTACGGGTGGAGGTGCAGTATCGCTCTCCCTAGAGGAGGTTCCCATTAGAGGGACCACCGTGGAGCTCAGAGGCGGATGGCAGCAGTGGGTGGGGCCTGGGACCTGCCACATGGTTGGCCCGTCAGCCCCTGGGCACCCGGAGCTTGTCTTTCAGCCTGGCCTCTGGTGGTTGGTTTCTGGCCATTACTGGCAGCCACTTTCACCCCCTCTTGTGTTTTAGCACCGGCAAAGTGGGTTCTGAGAAGCTCCAGGTAACTGGGGCTGGAGGTGTGGGGGATGAAGCATCAGCAGCGGGGAGGCATTGTGGTAACCTGATCTGAAGAAAGGCAGCAACTACTCAGAAGAGGGAGACGAAGCCCAGGGACAGCCGATGAGCCGGGCTACAGCCAGGCAGAGCCACCTGCTGCTTTCTGGGCAAACTTCTGGCCCCAAAATATGAGGGGCTGTTCCAAAGTTCAGAGACATCCTGTGTCCTTTCCTGGTGGATCCAGAAAAGTGACATCGGATCATCTTTTGTCTTGGAAGTTGATTTTTACGAGTGGGATTTTGCTTCCCAGAGGGAAGTCAAAATACAGTGACCAGCCTGAAGTGGGGGAGCCCTTTCCCTCCCTCAGTCCCACCTCAGGACCACGAGTGGCTCCAGGTCCCAGGTCCCAGCACACCGTGTAGGGGAGCTGAACTCTGTTGGCTTACCTGTCTGTGTTTGGTGGCCAAGACAACTCTAAGCCCCATGTTTATTCTTTAATGGCCTCTGGACCTCAGGAAGAGAGATACTGCAGCTTTCCAAACAGTGTCATACACATATAAGACAAAGACAGGCATCTGATGTTAACAAAAATAGGTAACAAAGAAATAGGATTAAACCAAATCTCTTCTCACAGCATCCTATACTACATCCTCCTTCTGCTTAGCAGAAAATTGTACGTACACAAAAATACAAATACACAATTTTGTAGAACAGTCTGATTTTAATATATTTATATATATTTATATTTATACGAGTGGCAGGTTAGTTCATTATATAGAGCTTTTTGCACTTTTGGCTCATACGCAACAAGGCTTATAAATTCAGCTTCAGCTTTCATTCAGGTTTTATAGCTTTTGAACAATTGTTTTCACATTTAAAGCAGCATCCAATTTGCACTAGGAGTTTGTGGTGATTACAGGAAAGACAGGGTCAGGAGGTTATCGAAGGGGCAGGGCGGGGGAGATACATTCCAGTGTGTGTGGTGATGGACGGAGGATGCCGTGGGACAGAGCTTACCATGATGACCCCTTGAGGTAGACTGAACACCTTACAGCAGACTCAGACACAGGTGTGACTCACCCTCAGGGACACATGGTGTACAAGATGGACAGGGACTAGAGGAGACGCCAAGGGGAAACACGAAGACTAAGACACACAGCAGCCGAGGCAGGGAGGAGCGCGCTGCCCCCACGCCCATGTGGCAGGGATCCCGCATGGCCCATCTTAGAAACTCAACTTATTTGGTGGATGCGAAACACTTCAGGCAATCCCAAGGCATCTGCTCCGGGGTATCCGACGAGATTACAGCCGTTAAGCTTGCTTTCCATTTCATAACTTGCTGTGCAGCTAGTTACCACCCCCATGCTGAAGAGTAAAGCAAAGGTGCCGCGGTTCGGTAGTGGAATCCACCCCCAGCACTCTGCTCGCGCTGGAGCTTTCAAGTCCGGTTACATGAGAACAGACTAGGACTCTCTTGCTGCCTCTAATTGCATTTCACTGTCGCCCTCCCCAGTGCTCTGCACTCTCACTTACATTCATCTCTTCCCTAGACAATTACAACTAGGGTAATCAACAAGCACTTGGTAGAACCTGCAAAAATAGCATCTGGAGAACTGAGGGATGACGCACTGCCAAGGGCCTGGTTTGGTTTACATGCTACAGAAAAGCCTCATTCTCATGATCACCACAGCACTGTTCCCCCATTCGATCACCTTTGTCAGCCTGCCTTCCCTTCTCTATCAGGTCATAATTCCACTGGCAAGTTTGCCCATGTGTCAAATATGAATACCCAGTGTTTTGGGTCATTACATTGTCTGAACAAAAATGCTGGATTATTAATGAAAATAAAGTGCCTGGGTATGGATTGTTCCAAAGGTTTGCAAAACCTTTTAATGCACCAACAAATCATCTGAGCGCTGCTTAGTGATGTGATTTGAACAGAGTGCAGTCACAAAATAATCTGTCGTACACCCATCACAGAATAAAGGCCCCATATTTAGATCAGATTTAAATTATTTTTTAAAAAAGAAACAAATACACTCACACTCATTTCCAAAGACACACTTTGGATCTGAATGCCCGACTGCTGGTTTTCCAAGCCCTCGTGAGCAGACATCCCGATCCCCCTAGTCTAGGAAGAGAGGGCTCGCAAAGGCAGCTGGGGTTCCAGTGGCTCATGCTGGCAGCTGAGTCAGGCTCATGAGCTAGGATGATTCGACGCTTTGCCCTCTTGGATGTGGACACATTTCCAACTCCTACCAAAGCCAGAGCTGGAATGCTGCTGTGAGGCTGTCTTGCTCTCCTGTCTTCTTAGTGGCTACTGAGATTTCCCTAAGCAGACTTAAATTCTCTATGAACCAAGACCAAAACCACATAAACAGAAACAGCCCTAAAGAAACAAACGCTGGAAAACAGTGATGAAGCCAGCCTGCTGTGGCTGTGAAGTGATCTCCCCCGCTAGTTTGTCCCTGCCTTGTTCTGCCTGCAGAACGCCAGGGACACTGGAGAGGGGCAGCCGCCCTGTGCCCACCCTCAAGGGCCAGTGCAGGGTGGGGAGGGATGGGGACAGGGCACAGGCCGACTCTCTGGCAGGTTCCAGAGGTCTGTAACTTGCTTAGGCACTTAAAAAACATAAACAAAAATTTATCCTTGAAAGGTACTGCATACCCCATGTGACCATGGCCGTGGAAGGCAGGGTGAGCCCGGGCTGGGGGGAGGTCATAGAAGGCTGTGGGCTCTTCCAGGGGAGGCAATGATGACGCACTTGGCGTCTCTCGGCAAGGGGAGTGTCCTGCCTTGCAGCCAGGGTGTGTCTGACGACACCAGTGCTGTGATGGCTTAGGGGCCAGGGACTTGGCCCAGCAGAGGCCTTCCCATGACCGTGTTCTACAGCCCCCTGGAGAAGTGGCTAGAAGAGGCCGGGGTGGGGAGGCTCCCAGGGTCTATCCAGATGCCCGCCATGGGTCGGGGAGGCACAGGCTGCACACGCTTTCTAGAGTCAACATGAGGCAACTACTAGGAAAAGAGGAGGCCCTTCTGAGTGTTCCGACAAAACTGAGGAGCAGTCAGGGGACGCCCTGCCCAAGCTCCCAGTGCTTTGAAAGAAAAGCTCCACTCCCCACCTCCAGAACTTTGGTTTTGGTTTCAGGGTGCCCGTTTTCAGAGATGCAGTATTAAGGGGATCACCGATTCTAACTTAATGAAATGTGGTTTTCAAGGCATACAACAATGCTGCCTGAAAGCAGCCACCGCTGAACACACGTCTTCACGCAGCCCACTCTTCTAACTCTGTGCCTGCCCCCCGTGAATCTGGTTTAAGAACAAGAGTTCAGTGGAACACACCAGAGTGGCTGCTGCTCACATTAGTATGACACTGATGTCATTCTGTGTCCAGCTTAATACCTCCAGCAAATGATGAGGTGGAAAAGTGACTCTCACGAGTTTATGCTGGGATCTTAGTTCCAGTAATGGAAGGAAAGGAGAGGTTTCTGTGCTCAAAGGAAGCCACAAAACATGACTGAAATTTAGACTTAGCCCGAAGTGACAGGAAGTTGAAAAAGTCCTAAAGGGAAGAAGGAATAAACCTTGAAACACAAATTCTGTGACTTGTCACTGCCACAGACACTGGTTTGTGAGAGCCATGAGTTCCTTCCTAGGGAGGAATCAAACTACTCCCATTCCAAAATCCCAATGGCACCCCAGCCACCACCAGATGCAAAATCTGGACCGATAACAAAATGCAAGGCACATACACCTTTCTCTTTCAAATTAAGGAGGCTTTTTGGGGATTGGAGGTTGGATAATAACGTAACTATGTACCTATTACAGGTACATAGGATCCAGGGAGACTGTCACAAGGACCAGTCCACAGCTGTGGCTTTGCTTCTGAGATGGTTCCAAGATGCCCACAACAGGGCAGAGCAGATCAGAAGAGAGAGACCATGAGAGAGCCAACCCCTAGAGGACCACTTATGTTTGATGGAAAAGAGGTAGACAGGTGGAGAAGGGAAGAAACGTGGAACTTTAGTTAGCCGAGTCCTCAGGTCAGCTTGGCACCCATGTCCCTTGTTCAATGTCCCTAACAACAGTCACCGCAGTTCCACGTGAAATGTGACAGGACAGGAACCAGACCTCTACCTCAAAGGAGCTCGTGCTTCAGCTGGATTCTGACTTCTAGAAAGTTCTTACGCTGAGCCCAAATCAAGGTATGTCTTTGCAGTCAGGACCCATGAGGAGCCAGGGAGGCCTGAGGCAGAGCAGACACTGATCTAATTCCAGAACCCCAGACCCTCGGGTTCTAGAGAGAAGGAGGGGCCAGCTGGGCAAGATGCTCCTGAACACAGCAGGAGCCCCGAAGGAACGACCAGGGAAGTGCTACAAGAGCTGAAGAGAGAAGACGGGAAGCGCAAGAAGGTTTCCTGGTCTCTGCCTTTGCTAACTGCAGGCAAGGGGTGCTGGAGTTCAAGTTCCCCTCAGCCACACAGGCTTCCCACCCTGTCAACCACTGCGGCGCCTCCCTGCACTCCTGTCCTCACCACTGACCAAGGAGGAAGACTCTGGAGAGGCTGTAGCATCCAGACCCTCACGGAGGGAGTTCAGCTCACAGAGGTGGGGGCGATGCCACAGCGCGCCTGGGGGGTACCTGGCACTGCTGCGTGAGAAAACAAACCAGGTTAGTGTTCAGAGGGCAGACTGTCCTATGCGGTCTGTTGTTTGAAGATGAATGTCCTACTAAAATGAAAGAAACGAGGGGAGACTTGCCTTGACGTGGGCGAGGGGACTTGCTTGGTGTTGGGTCATGAGGCAGCACACATGTCCAGCACGACGCCCCGCACACAGTACGTGCTCAGAAAACATGGGCTGTATTGACTTTGGGGTGCTTGGGAGACCTGTGCGTTTGTCTCTGTCATACTATGATTTACAGTGGTGGCATCTTTAGTTTCCTACAAGAACAAAACCCACATATTTCATGGGTAAGCACTGCCTCGATTTTCACTGATTTTGGTAAGCTGAGTTGTGATGGAAAGGGGTGGGGGCTGCTGATAAAGGAATATATGGTTGGGGTTTTCTGAAGCACCAGAGTGGCCTGCAGAAGCATTTGGGAAGGGAGGTGTCTCTCCAACTTCGGTTCTTTTGAAGTAGCACCATCCCTGAGGCAGCACCTCTAATACCTTGATCCCTAAGACAGGGGCTCCATTAGAAGGTTTTAACTGTGGTGGTGTTTTGAGTGTAGGTGGATCATCAGAATGTTCTGCTGATGATTTTAATGCATGTCTCACAAATCATAGAATTAGACCCATCCAGTCAGTTCTTACCATCTCTAATCTTAAGATGGATTCTAAATTCTAATGGAGATAGTCATCTTTTAGCAGCTGGGAAAATAGGAAAAGGAATGCTCTATTCTTTGGGGTCATAAATCTGTAATCATTCCAATTGTCATAAAGATAGGATCCCAAAGAAAACAGTTTCAACAACTGCATGCATGGATCTTGAATGTAGGTGTGCAAGGACTGGGTGGGAATGAGGTTGCTTTCAGGGCCTATAAGAGGAGGAATACTGAAGGAATACTACACATTTTTTTGTAGGTATTTTGCGGGGAATGAAAAGATAAGATTCCCAAGGCCTAAGAGCCTTTCCCTAAATTCTCTAGGTGTGTGTATTTTCAGGGAAGAGGAAAATTTTAAATCAGTAGCCTACTACAGCATTCTCATGAAACTGATTTGCAACTAGCATTTCAACTAGGTTAGGATTCCTTTTGGTATATGGAGGGGGAAAGATCTGTACAAAGAGAAGCAGCAAAATATGAAAAAAGGCCAGAGTTGTACTCTCCCCAGTGGCTAGCCAAACCAACCCTGGAGTGTCCAGACCTGGAAAAGAAAAGGCTCATGGTCCCAGGCTCACCCAGCACAAGTGTGAGCCTCTTGGGCATGGAACAGCTTGCAAAAGGCCATTTGGCACTATGTCTGGTGCTGGTATCCTTGTAGACTCATTCTTGATCATATAATTGAATAAAGACCTCTGCAAGTGATGGGGGAAAAAAAACAAAGCCACATTCTAGGGAAAGGTGAGTTGGTGACTCAGCAGCTCCTGTCCAGTGTGACACTTCCGGAGAAAAGTAGGGGACCATGGTCAGGGACTATGTATGGCATCAAGCCCACATGATGTCCCGTGCGACAGGGAGCACGGAAGAGACAGGAGGAAGAGTGGGAGGGAGAGAACATGAACTTGAGTGCCAGGGAGATGCTCACACTGGCACAGCGGAACAGTGGGGAAGACTCAGGGCAACAGCGCCGGTGGGAGGGGGCACCTGCCGAGGGGTGTGAGAGGAGCGCACAGACACATGTGTCCCATGCTCCAGTAGCTTTAGAATGTCATGAATAGTACTCCATTCATGCCCCCACGTGTTTAAAGCCTGTGTTAGTTATGTGTGTCCTGTCATGTTGTCTGAGTCTTAGGATTCAATGAGGAAACCTTGATTCAATTTTCTGTAAACTTCTGTTTGGGAAATGCTTTCTGATAGTGACATCAATGGAAATATCAAGCAACCAAGGGAAATCTGAAGATCCCAGAGAGCCCAGCAAGCAGCAGTGTCCTCGAGTTAGGCAAGCAAGGGCCCTGAGCTGGCCAGACCATGGGCTGGAACGCACTAGAGGCTGGTCAGAGGGGCTCCTTCTGGGGTCCCGACTGTGGTTTCTGCCAGAGGTGGAGCAAGCTGGAACTGGATGTTGAATGAAGTTTCAAAGAACTTAGAAGTCAAATGGGGAACAATAATCAAAGGCTTCCATTTTGAAGCTGAAACAACTCCAAATTCTGCTGTTTCACTTAGGGGAGAACAGAAGCACCATGTCATTATTTTAGTTTACAGAGCTGCTGTTCCAAATGTTCTTGGGAGCATTAGTGCTAAGAGGGAACAGGGGATGGGAGTGCTGCCATTTCCAATCACATAAAGGACAGAAATTCTTTTAATTATGACCATGCCAATCTACATCCTGCTAAAACAGCTAATTACATGTCAGGAGGACACTCAGTCATTCAGAACAATTGCCATTATATTTTTATATATTCATTCTATGCCACCCCCCTCAATTACCATGGTTACAATTTGAAAAGATTCAGTCCAACCTTCATTTGATCACAGCACACCAATGTGAATTTGAGAGTTAATTATGGCTATACAGAGCCACTCTTACTTAAAAGAAGAGAAAATGAAAATGGAGTCGAGGGAGCCGGCATCCCAAGACTTCTCAAGTGGGAGCCGGGTTGTGCATGCCCACGCCGGCTGCACCAACCAACTGGAGGGCAGCTGAGCAGGCACGGACACAGCTGTCCAGACTGGGGCCGACCAACCTGCAAACCTGCCACGTGAAAGGAGTGTCAGGATAGGAGAAAGGCACGGCTCCCCTTCAGCTGCATCCCTCTGGATGCGGTTATGGGGCTGGCTGATGAGACAGACAATGGGTGTGGCATGTGGGTAGTAAACTGTCTCATGGTGTAAAAATGCTTGTCACATTTCATGTGAACAGAATCACCTAGAAAGTTCTGCCACAAATGTCATAGGAAGAACGACAACAAAGAGGTTCAGTGCTCCGCATGCCTGTAATCCCGAGGCATCTATGTCACTGAGATAAGAATGGGCAGCCAGCAAATCTTCCCTCCCTCCCCTCATGTATCTCTTCCCGTCTTGATTTAAAACAAAGCCAGTGTTAGAGGAGACTGGAGTTTTCAGATTGCTGGCTTGCTTTTTGCTGCCATTTCTATTCCTCATCAAGAAAGAATAATACAGCTAATACTGAAACTTTCAATTTACGAACTTCCAGGTTTGAAAATACATAGATATGAACAAAGTTACCTTTCAGAGATGAGTGACTCAACTATTGGCTCTGCAAGATCACAAGACAGTAGCTTATCACTTTCAGTTTATAGGTGGAATTGAGGGACAGCCTTTCCAAACACAACCTGTATGTGAGAGGAGTTTCTGTAATCAGAAAACAGAATGTTGGCTTGTATCTGAGAAGCCTTTCCTATCACCTTAGTATGATAGTTCTCTGGAGAGCTGTAAGGAAATCTTTCTTTTAAAGTGGTGGTCATCTTTGAAACCAAGCATGCTTAAGGAAGTAGAGCACATTACAGGAAAAGAAAGGCCCTCTGCTCTGACCGCACACCACCATAACATCCTGACAGATGACCTGGCATGGACAGCTGCCTTTCCAGGAAAATATTCCACTCTCATCAGGGAACACTGGACTGGATAACTTAGGTATTCCTAGGCGAAGTAAGTCAGACAATATGGAAACGAAGAAATAAAAAGAGGGCTTTCAGGGCACGCAGCTCAGTTTGCCAAATTCAACATGGCTGACAACTGATCCCCAAATCCCGAGTAAACACCCTTGCTATGTAATGAGCACAAGCAAAAAAAAAAAAAACAAAAGGAATGCCTTATATGTGTCATTCCCACCCCTGCCCCAGGACATCCCCCCACCCCATCCCACACTCCCCAAAGATACCACCAGCAGGAGCTGGGCAATGTGCCCAACTTTCACTTGGGAAATCTTGACTAATCAATCCGGCTCAGTAAAGCTATAAATGGATTTGGCTGGTCTCAATGCAGCCCCAATGAATACAGTAGTAAAACATTACTAATAATCACAATAAAATGATAAAATCTATCATCTCTCTGACATGATTCAGATCACAGAGATTAACACAGAAACCAACGCACAATGGTGAGGGCCAGGGTTCTTCAATGTAGTTTGCTATTGAGCACAGGATCATCAACAAGAAAAATTACTGCCTAAGAATCTGTTGGGACACACTGGGGAGAAAATACTCTGGTTGTTCCCTGAACAACAAAAGACAAAAAACAATTTTAAAAGGCAGAGCCACATATTAAATGAGAAGACTGCTTCTAACCAAACCCTCTGAAGACCAGAGAGTAAAGACTTAAGACTTCACATTTTTAGGAAGAGGAAGGGAGGGAGGGTGGGTGGGAGAACATCTGTGGGAAAGGGATCATTTCCACTGTTGAGGGCAAAGATGATGAGGCTGTTCAGTGGAATATGTAGCTGGTCAAGACAGGGAGGAGTGTTTGTGTTAAGAGATGGACCACATCCAGCTACTTTTCCCTGCTGTCACAAGATTAGAAAATTCCAGCAAAGAAGTCAGCTTAAGGCCTTGTCAGAGGGAAACAGAAGAGGAGCTATTCACAGACAGGATGAGGCTGGAGACTCCTGATTCAATGAGTCTGTTTATACTTGGTGCCTGATGGTTGATATCCAAGGGAGAAGTTTCTAAAGTCAACATTTCTTAAAGACAAACGTTAAACAGGCAGAAAGGAAATAACTATATTGGTCAATTCTTCAGTCATCTCCTTTGAGGTAAAATATATCTGGATACACGGACCTAACATAGGTGGTGATCACTGAACGGGCTGCCACCATCAATCTACCAAGAACTAGAGAACTGGATGTGCACACTTCTGCATTAATGATTTTCTTCCTCTCTGCCTCAGGTTCCTTCTTCCTGTGATGGGCCATGGGAATGTGAATATGGGGGTGGGGGGGGAGGACTGCCCTTGTGAGTGACAGGGATGGGGACTGTCCAGAGTCATAGGTGGGTGGAAGGCAACTACATTTATTAACCACTTAAAGAACTGTGATTTTGATTGTGAAGAAAATTGCTGTAAGGGCACTCCAACATTACCGGCTTTGCTGAAACAAATCAAAACATCTATTTGGGACTGAATAGCACTGAAGGGCTCAGATAAGAATGCAGTGTGTTGCCCTCCCAGCCTTCATCTGCTGTTAGGGTTATCAACAGATGGGCAGAGATCTCATCAAGATGGCCCATTTTAAAAGGTCCCTGTGTCAGTGTTTTTAAAGTTTGGAAAGTTTACCCATCTGACCATAGTAATTCAATTAAAGTGTCTTTAAAGAAATAAATTATATGAATACCTGTTGGCAAGTTCCCCCACATCCCACTTCAAAAGACTTTTGAAAGTCTGCCTCGACACGAACAGCCCCTGCAGGAGTCTCCTGGGGCCTGAAGGAGAGAGTGAAGTACAACCCGGGTCGGGCGGGGGGCGGGGCGGGGGGAGCAGAACAACCAAGAAGCACACAGTGTGAGTTTTTAGAGCCTGGCTGCTTTCCCTTCAGTAATAAGGAAGTTTAGGGTTTCTAGTTTAATTCCGCCACTAAAACCTGAAAAAGCTTAGGAGAGAAATATACTACCTAAAGACACTAGAAATATAACAGTAGCAGTGCCACACACCATTATAAGAACCAAGGTGGCCTGGACAAGATGGCAGAATTGAACTTAGTGACAAACAGAAAACTAACAGGTTTAAATCTAGGCCCAGAGGAAGTAAATTCTCACTCTTGGTGAAAAAGCAAAAGTGACATGTAAGGCAGTGGGTCTTCTGAGCAGCCAGCGGTCTTCTCCAATGACAAGAACAGCTGTGGGTGGAAGATGCCTTCCTCCTGCTCCCACTGAGCTCTCCAGGACATTCTCCTGCAGTGGCAGAAATATTCTTTCAGTTTCACCACATTGCCATATAGGGTCTGGTACTGCCCTTCATGGATGCGAACTTGCCTTTATTCTCTGAAGCTTTTTTCCTCCCGTAAAGGTGTTAAAACAATGAAACCTTTGAGTACATCTATGACAATCTTTGTAGTTCTTTAGAAACTGCAGCTGTCTTAACAGTTTGAGTCTGTTCCTTTAAAAAGACTAGCAAGTACAAATGATACTAGCAATCCCATGATAAAGAAGCTATCAATTATTAATAATCTCCTTACAATCAATCATGAATGTGGCTTGTCAGAGTGGATATTTCTCTGTCTCCTTGTATTTTGATTCAACTGGGAATAAGCAGTCAAAATTCCACAAAAATGGAAATATGTTACATTTCCTTTAAGCAAAATAAAAGGAAAGCAAGAGAACACAATCTCCTAATTGAAATAAAAAGTCAGATAAACCAAGAAAGAATACGAGTTGGCCGCGGGGGGGAGGCTCATTCCTGAGAATAACAAATGCTACTCTTGAATTTGTTGGTTCAAGTAATACAGTAAAACAGAAGAGACGGCTCCACTTTACTTCAAAGCTTGGAAGCTGAAAAAAGTACATATATTTTTTCCCCCTGAAATCCATGGACAACAGCAGGACCAGGCCCTGCATATAGCTCTTTAAAGTCACAGACATATATAAGGTGGCACTTTCATGCCCTCTCAAAGACTTTCCTCACACTCACATAAGCAGGATTAACAGATAAGGAAATGACGCAGTCAGCGTGTGCCTTAAGTGGAAGGAGACCAGCTGGAAACTGGTGGATATTCAGTATCTCCTGAATGAGAAAGAAAATTGAGGAAGGCCATTGAATACATTTGGTGGAGGAGGATGGGTGAAGAGGTAAGGAAACGGCACCTACCTTTTATCTTAGAAATTGTTTTCAGGTAATGGACAAAAAGAAGCCCTGCTTAACAGCCAGCCCCACATGCCCCTTTAAACAAGGCTTCATTATACACAGGAGAGATGGAGCAAGGCAGAAACCACAGCAGTTGTGCCTCTTTCAGACGCACCCTGTGCTGCTACATTGAAGGCTCTTTCCTCTTACCCACAGTGACAGTGTGTCATTTAATCGGGATGCCAAGAGATCATTTTCATACAAGGCCAGCAGATGTAATTTTCTTTGATGCATGAATAGTTCATCATTTTGCTACTAGATGACAAAGTGATCACAGGGTGACTTTATAACGCAAGTTCACTGTTTGGTATTTTGAGTTCTCAAAATGAAAAAAAGATTTATCAAATATAAATATCTTTAAAAAGTAACAAAAGTGCTACATATGTGATCAAGGAAAAAAATTCCATTAGTTACTGCCGCTTAAAGTAGATTAAACTTTACAAATATTACCACATCCATTATCAATATGGCTTCCAATTATTAAATAAATTGCCTGTAGCAATACAGCTTTTCACACCTCTCCAAGGACAGAGTAAAGAGAACAGCAAAGCAGTCCCATCGTGTTCTCGTACAGCCACAATGTGAGTAGGAAACATCCCCTGCTTTTCTCTGCTCCTGTCTGGGCAAGTGTCTGCGTCTGTGACAGGCAGCACAACCCCACTATGAAGTCCTCTAGCGACCTCTCAGATTGAGGGGGCTTCCGTTTAATGGATACAAACACTGCAAGTTTTTTCACTCATTTTTGACCTTAGCTCCATCCTTGAAAGACTTTTTTGGTAGCAGGGAAAGGGGACACTGACAGGAGGCAAAGCAACTTCCACGATGACCTCCAAAACTTTTCCAGGCAGGCACTGCTAACTGTGCCGCGGAATGTACAGTGGTTCTGAAAACTGGACTTAGCATCCATTAGACATTCAGCTCATGTTTTTTTCCAATGCTCTCAAGCTGGGCCTTTTTTTTTTTTTTTTTATGACGTTTGGTTTTTGTCTTTGTTTTTAATCATGGTCCCAAAGGCAGAAGGCAGTATTTTATCTACTAAGTCACACAGCTTGTGAGAGGAAAGGATGTCTGTGTCAGGCATGTTAACTTCAAACAAAATCTGAGATCGACTTTTTCCATTGACATTCTTAGCACAGCACCCAAAGAAGTATAATCTAGCCACAGTGTGGCTATAATGAGGCACGGCTTATTGCAGCTGGAAATCAATTATCCTCACACTGAGGTGGGGATTCTAGTGTTCCTTTGACTCTGTGGATACTCCCCAAATGGTGTCTGTCATTCCTGTGCCACGACCTCAGCTTGCATCCTATCAGTCTTGGGGAAGGAAAAGGGGGTACAGACTAGTGTTACAAGAATCTAAAGGTACCCAAGATTTTACACATAGCCTAATATTTCAGAACTGAGGGCTATCTAAATACCTGGAAGCACTTTCTTGGAATGCTAAGACGGAGCAGCAAGATTTTCTAGCCTCACGGGCTGGGAGAGGGAAGTTTGGTTGGTTGGTTGGTTATTATTTACTGGGAATTAATACTGAGAGAGTATATGCAAAGGCTGAGGGCACCATGCCATCTTCACAGAACAAGACCCTAACGGCTACCTGACATACAAGAAACTGCAAGTTATACTGTAAGAACACATGTTAAGGACCGAGGAAAGTCTGCTAAGGTGCTACGTCTAAACTAAGTTAACTTGTCGTGTTTAACCTCCCTGATCAGTCATCATCCAGGGCCTCTGTCTTGATTTCGTTGGCTCCTTGTCGGGCCAATGCCAAGATAGTGTGGTTGACTGCTGCCATTTCCACAGCTAATGAGATGGGGTCTTGGTGGTCACTATGGCTCGTACTGTCATCCTAGATGTGCAGAAATAAGAAATGTTATTAGTGGATTGGAAGAATTCTTCAGTCACAGAAAGACATGCTGGGGCAAGGGGAGGCAGAACATTCGTGGGAGGAAACTGGGGGAGGGGCTCATGATAGAATAGAGGTAAATTGTATTTAAGTAGACACTGAATGGATATAGGTCCAAAGATTTTCAGTTGATAATTTTAGGATTCAACAAGTAAAAAGCACAAAAAATGTTTTTCCTCACTGAGAATTCTATTCATTCTATTAATAAGGTTGCTGGTGATGGTGATCAAACCTGCAGTGATTGATATAAAACCAACAATTTGGATATTTGGATCTTTCTGTTTGTAACAAATATAGCACTAATCACTGAAGGCCATACTAGTGAGCTATTAAATTCCAGATTGCTGCTTTTACAAATAGATTATTAGAATTCATGGTCCCTCTCTGAACTGAGAAAACTAGACAAAACTTACAATTACATCTTACAGATAAAAAGTGCATTTTTGTTAAAAAAAAAAAAAAAAAGGAATTCTCAATTACAACAGGACAAGTGTCTCTGCTGGAAATGGCTATGGGAGAAAGGGGAGGAAGGTGTGGAGCTCTCCTGCTGGAGGCAGCTGTGCAAGGGCAGCGGCAGGCGTCTTACCTAGAACAAGTGTGAGGCTGTCCTCCCCGCGCAGCTCAATGTGTTAAACAATAAAGCTGTGAAGGAAGCTGGCATTGCAGGATGTACGTCAGGCACTGAAGACGGTGTTACAAATAAGGGGTACGTTTCTCACCTGTCATCTTCAGGGGAATTCTGTGTCAAAGAGCTTTGGAAAGGGTAAGTCCCTTAAGGAAAAAAACAAACAAAACATGGGATGTGCTGCCCTTAGGGCATCTGTAAAAAAAGATGGAAATGATCCATCTTTGTGGGTAGACTGAAAAATAACAGGAATGTATACGAACAGAAAGACTTACAGAATATTCTCTTGGGGCTATGAAGTAGAGTCCTAAAGGGAAAAAAATGGTAGTTCTTTGGAAGTGTGGACATCATTGTTTCCTTCTGATGTTCACAGATTAGTTTTTAGAATTTACAAAGGGATCAGCACAGACTTGCATGCATTCTAGGCGTGTGGTAAACAGAGGCTGTTAAAGAACACACTGGACTATATGAGCTGGCTGGGGGGCAAGGAAAAAGCACAGACAGACCCCAGAAAAATGAGAAGTTTTCTTGCTGTGGTCTAGGGGAAGGCACCATGCGTTCTCTGCATATTCCAAATGGAAATTTACATCCTATCAAAATTTTAATGAAATCTGTCAACATTTATGTGGGGTCAAGGAGGAACTCCCACGGTCTTAGTTACTGAATTACTCCATGCAGTGGCTACAATTAAATACATTTTCCCCAAAAGCAATGCAGAATAAATCAGGGCGAGGTGACGAGTCATGCAGGTATTGCACTTATGAGAGGATGCATGTGTCAGTGTGCCAGAGACTCTGGAAGAACCACTCCTTTGGGCAGGAGGGTTCCCACTGCAGTGGGGCCAGAGTGAGTGGGGCCTTCCATCGTGCCCTGCATCGGTACATGTTTAGGCATGGGGTCCAGCTGCCCCTAGTATTTCTCAAACACTGAGTGTGTGTTGTGAATGGTGTAACTTGCTTGTTTGGATCAGATCCTCCTCTCTTCTTCTACCTTCTCTGCTTCTCTGCCTCCCTCTGAACTTCTTCCCTCCTCCTCCTCCCCATTGCGTACTTGCCAAGTATCCTGTTGTATGACAATAAATCCATGTGGGTGAATAATGATTTCTCACAAATTCAACAGGACAACCGAATCTTACCACATTCCTTTCAAATTACATGAACTCTAACTAGACACAGGAGCAGAGTGGAGGGACAGTGACTGCTTCCCCTCCCCCACCCCATCAGCCACACCCACGGAACTAAGCTGTCCCACTGTTCCCCTGCTCAGGCACCAAGAACCTCGCCCAGCTGTGCAGGGGCTCACCTGCTCAGAGTAGTCATTCCCGTCGACGTCATCACTGTTCGAGTGGCCTCCTGGACTCTGCACATCTATTCCATGACTCTCCAGGATTGCTGCTTCTTCGAAAAAAGCAAATAGATCCCTAAATTATCTGTTACCTTATCACAATGGCTGAAACACTGAATGAATTTTTGTGCTAAGGAAATTAGAATATAATTAAACAAAAACCTGTATTTCTCTACAGTTGTTTCTTTTAGACTGTAAGATGGATGAAATTCAAATGCATGTAGGTCAAGGGAGGCACACATTTGCCATTCTGGGGTCTCTGCTGCTGTGCATGTTACGTGCTTCATAAATACTTGCTAACTAACTAAACAGTCCTCCTATCTTAGGGTTCTATAAAGCATATGAGAACTGTACTGATGAATAAAAAGTATATTTACAAAGGAAAGGAAATGAAATGAAATGCATTCTATGCCCATACCACGCTCAATGTGCCCGATCTCGTCTGATCTTGGAAGCTAAGGAGGGTCAGGCCTGGTTAGTACTTGGATGGGAGAAATGAAATTCAATTTTAGAAGCTAAAAACCAACATCCTACCTGACTCACCAACTTAAATTTCTTATTCTTATGTATTACTATTACAGTTTTGAATGGGAAAAAATCCTTTATTTCTTCCTTTTTCAGTTGTATTCATAGTTCCCTTTAGGGCGCTTCTGGCATTTTTGTTTTCTCTGTTCAGCTTTATTGAAATATAATAAAAATTGTATATATTTATAATGTACAAGGTGATGTTTTGATATGTGTATATATACATGTATACATGATTACATCGAGAATTCATATTTCTTAAACGCTCTTTATCTCTGCCTTTTGCTGCATTCCTTGTCTATTAAGTCTCTTTCATTCCAAACTATTAATCGTTTTGTAATATCTAAGTCGTAGTCCAGTAATAATAAATTCTGGGTATTACACTCCCTTTCTCAAGACCCTACAAGTATCTTTCATATGTACCACAGGAGTAATCAATTGCTCAGGGGCCAAGTCTAATTCTATATTCTAGAACTTTAAGAACAATGAGTTTTATAAAAATGTCATTACCATTGCAATACAAATAGTGCAAATACTACTAACTGTGGTTTATTAAAAATACAATGAAAGACATTAGGGCAATTTTTGTTAGTCCTAGAAGTTAGGATCTGGCATGGTGGCTCACGCCTGTAATCCCAGCACTTTGGGAGGCCGAGGCGGACAGATCACCTGAGGTCGGGAGTTCGAGACCAGCCTGACCAATATGGAGAAACCCCATCTCTACTAAAAATACAAAATTAGCCAGGTGTGGTGGCGCATGCCTGTAATCCCAGCTGCTCGGGAGGCTGAGGCAGGAGAATCACTTGAACCCGGGTGGCAGAGGTTGCGGTGAGCCGAGATCGCGCCACTGCACTCCAGCCTGGGCAACAAGAGCGAAACTCCATCTCAAAAAAAAAAAAAAAAAAAGAAGTTAGGATCCTTTAGACTTGCAGTTTCTAAACTGAAGTTAATCTTAATATAAACATGACGTTCACAACTGCAGCACAAGAGAAAAGCAGCCTCACTGATACATTACCAATATTGGCTCTCCTCTTGATCTCCTTCCTTCTGTTAGCAAACCAATTATATACTTTCAGGGAGGTAACTCTTTCCAGATCTGACAGTTTTTTGCCTGTAAATACATGCAATAAAATTCAGATAATCTGTATCTGGGATCCAAGAATAAACTAGTTTTAAGGGCTAATATTTTTATTTTGTTGCTTTTGATTACATTTGTTGCCAAAACTATAGATGCAGAGGGATGTTTAAAGTATTACCTGGTACCATGTACACACCCCAATTATTGAATGAATAAATATGTAAATGAATACAAACACAGCAACTAGTAACACAACATGCTTCAATTCAGAAAGCCATACATAATATTAGAGAATTCCACAAAGTCAGTTGGCTAGAGTGCCAGATCCATGTTCATGTGACAGTACTATGGGGGTTTCATTTAATTACCATTATTGTATCAGAATAAGTTACTCTTTTTTTATTTTTTTGAGAAAGGGTCTTACTCTCTTACCTAGGCTAGAATGCAGTGGTGCAATTATAGCTCACTGCAGCCTTGACCTCCTGGGCTGAAGTGATCCTTCCACCTCAGCCCCCTGGGTAGCTGGAACTACAGGCCCAAGCCACCATACCAAGCTAATTTTTGTGGTTTTTGTAGAGATGGGGTCTCACCATGTTGCCCAGGGTAGCCTCCAACTCCTGGGATCAAGCTATCTGCCCACCTTGGCCTCCCAAAATGCTGGGATTACAGGCGTGAGCCACACAACGACCCAAGATAAGTTCTTCTTTGTCAAATATCCAGACAAAAATTTACTTACATCTTTAAGACCTTATGTTAACTAATTACCTGCTGTCTTAGGACAGAGGATATTATACATGTTTTCTTGAAGGCTGAAGGCCGCTATGACTATCCATTATTGTAACTGGGTTTGACTACATAGCACAATTCAAGTTGCATTTTAGATTTACCATCTTTGAAGTCCAATGTGATTTTTTTTTTTTTTGAGACGGAGTCTCACTCTCTCCCCCAGGCGGTAGTGCAGTGGCGCAATCTCGGCTCACTGCAAGCTCCGCCTCCCGGGTTCACACCATTCTCCTGCCTCAGCCTCCCGAGTAGCTGGGACTACAGGCGCCCGCCACCACAACTGGCTAATTTTTTTGTATTTTTAGTAAGGACAGGGTTTCACCGTGTTAGCCAGGGTGGTCTCGATCTCCTGACCTCATGATCCGCCTGCCTTGGCCTCCCAAAGTGCTGGGATTACAGGCGTGAGCCACCACACCCGGCAAGAAGTCCAACGTGGTTTTTTATGGATAGTACCATGCTTGCCAATACAGACCCCTCTGTAACATTCCCTCCTCACCTTTCCTTTTGTTTTTCAGCTATTAATCCAGTGTGTGAAGAAACCAGAAAGCAGGTTTGTTAGGGTCTTGATGATACGAGGGCAACATGTTCCAGGGAGAGTTCAAGTTTCTGCACAGCTTTAGGGCTGGGACTTTTGGCATGTTTGAAACAGGGTACAGATTCCTTTCACTTATGTGTCACTGGAGCAGAGTTTGTAGGGTCTACATTGCTAGAAGTCTGGCTTCTGGGTGAGGGAGAATGAAGGTCTACTTAATTTTATAAAACACTGATACTTTCATATGTAGCCTTTAGGCCAATCAAAATAACTGGCCACATGGAAATCAATTGGATCTATTAACTGAAAATGGTTTATGTTTAACAAAATCTGTAAAATGTGAAATAATATTTTAGCACAAGGAAGAAAATACATTTGAAATATTTAAATGGGTTTTTGAGTTTGGAACAACAGGACTTCAAAATGGTACCTGCCCTAAATTTTTCTTAGCTAAGCAAGCAGAAGTCATCTCAATGTGTAAAGGAGATAGAAACTAACTACAAAAAGAATTCTTTTCCCAAAGAGAAATACAGCATTTTACAATTTATAACAATTGTTTTAAAAAATTCTATCTTAATTTTATATTGACAAAGCTTGCTTAAATATTTAAAACTTTAACACTGTTTCATAGTATCTTTTAGCTAAATTCTTGGAAAAGGAAATCTACACATTAAAAAAATAGTAATTTCAAGGTCTCATATCTCATGTAGGGTCATTCCTTGAAAACTCTCCTATGTGAGCATTTGATTTTGAGTACCATAAAAACATCCCTCAGAAGTACTGTGTAAGCAGGACAGGGCACTGGCCACCTGCTGAAGGATGGCACAGACTGAGCTGGGAGCACTATGCCAACGCACGCACAAGACTAACTGTCCTAGATGTCAACCTGTAACCAAGCGCTGTGCTGCACCACCGCAGAGCAAGGCTGTGCCTGCGACCTTACCTGGCTTCTGTATAACTGCATTGCAAGCATTTGCAATTTCTTCCCTCTTTGCTTCATCTGGGTATTGATTCTCATTGAAGTAACTGCAGAGGCAACCAATACAAACACAAAGTTTTTATTTTTCAAACATACTCTCATTAAAACACTAACTCGTTGAAAAATATGTGCTGTAAGATGCCACACGTAAGTGTCTAGGTCCAGGCTGTCGAATGGAATGTTCTGTGAGAGTAGAATCTTCTATGCTGTCCAGTATGGTAGCCAAAACTCAAAAATGGCTACTGAGCACTTGAAAGGAGGCTAATGTCAGGGATGGAATTTGAATTTTATTTAATTTTAATTTAAATTTGAATAGCTCCATGTGACTAGTGGCTATTATATGGGACAGAACAGGTCTACATACTGCTGTGCTTCATTAAAAGATGTCATTGATATAGCAAAAATTTGAAATTACCCACATATCCATCAATAGGAGAATGGCAGAACAAATTATGGGATATCTATACTTATACATTGCTATTTAAAACTAGTAGGAAAAAATAAGTTAGAGTTCTGTCCACTGACCTGGAGGGATGTTTATGACATATTTCTAAGTGAGGAAAACTATCCGCAGAATAATACTGAAAACACTGTTATTTTCAATATTGGTATTATACCAATAATAATATGAAAATATCATTACAGAATTTAAAAATTCCTATGTGTACATAAGTTTGCATAGATGAAAGCTGGAAGACTACACAGTAAGCTTAAATACTGGTTACTGATTTGTGGGGAGGGGGCTTAGTGGGAGGAGTTTAAACATTTTCTTTTTCATTTGTTAAAAAAGTATGTATTACTTTTGCACTTTTTAAAGAATAATAGTACTTTAAAGAAAGAATAAATTTACTTAACCCATCCTTAGAATTCTCAGACCCATCAGACTGCACGTGGGAATAGAATGCTTATTAGTGCTACTTTTTCAGTCACCCATGAGTTTAAAAAAAGAAAAGGAGAACTTTCATGGTTTCAACTTGGAAACTTCCAATCAGGAAATGGGCCCCTGTCAAATTCTAGCACCTACCATTTTTTCACGGGTTTCCCTTTCCCTGTAATCCAGCCTTTCTTAAGCCTTCAACACTCCTGTCTGCACTGGTGGAAATGCCATCCTACTGTGAATTCCTGACGATGACCTGCAAACCCAGCTCCTAACACTGACTCCCTCCTCTCACCGCCCACTCTTCCTCGGAGGGCATGCCTTCACTGTAGTTATTTATTTATTTAACCTCATCTGATGTCTCATCTGATGTAGTCCTGACTCACAGCAGCTGTCCCCACCTAACTACCTTTTCTTCTGTAAAACTTACGTCATATAGCTATATCCTCCCAGTCTTGTCAACTACCACCCTCCACCATGGTCTTCTGCTTTATTTGAGCATCTCTTCCTGCACAATTTTCTGCTGTCATTTCTGGGACTCCAGTGTGCCTACTGAGGATTTTTCCAAGTCACTACCCTCATAATTGCTTCACTTTCACATTTCTAATGGCTTCTGTCTCTGCTCTATGTCTGCTATTTACTTAGGCTAAGAAGCTTTGGATTAACTCTGAGAACTAACAGCATGGCTGTCACCTAGGAGCCAGTTAGAAGAGCAGAATCTCAGACCCCACCTCAGACTTACTAAATCAGAATCTGAATTTTAACAAGATTTCCAGGTGACCTAAATGCACAGGTCATAACTTCTGAGATGTTCTGGATGAGTTCATTTACACAAAATTTAACAAAAAGCAGATACTAAGTACCTAATATGTGCTTGTTACTGTGGATAAAGAAAGATGATATAGTTTCTGACTCCGAAGTGTTCACAGTCCACTAGAGAGAGACATGTAAGTCAATACCCTCTGGTGAAATGCCATAGGATGTACGGACAGAGCACTGAGGGAGCGTGGATGAATGTGTGCTCAGTGTTGCTGGCAGGAGCCTGGAAAGGCGTCACTGAGGAGTGCCATCTGAATTAGGTCTAGAGAATGTGCAGGAGATTGCAAGGCAGAGAAGAGGAGGAAAAGCATTTTATTTAAGAGGGAACAGCATATGCAAAGGCAAAATAGCAGATAAAAGCTTTTGAGGATTCTGGGCATAGAGAAGAGTTAAATGTGGCTAGAACATAGGGCTTGTACAAAGCAATGAGATACTGGCCTGGAAAGGTGGGATGGGGCCAGTTTGTGAAGACCCTTGTGTGTTCCTCAAGAAGACTTCATACTGAAATAAACGGGGTGCCTTCGAGGTTTCCAAGATACACAGAGATATACTCCCATCTGTTCTTTAAAAGACAACACTTTATCTTCAAGGCTTAACCCTTGGAATTCTACCTCCATGATCTTCAATTCTGAAATTCCCCAGTCAACTTTGTATTTACCTATGCCTCCTCTTCAAAATAATTTGTTCTGCACTTTCTTTAACTCCTTAATTCCCCCAACCACCAGTTAAAAAAACAAAACAAAACAAAAACAAAAACAATCTCTGTTTTTCACTCCTCTTTGGGCTTCACCTGTCATTTCTTAGCCTGAACTCCATGGCATGCGAAATCAGCAACTTCCCTTAGAGAAACTAGGTTCTTTAGCTTTTCTGTCCTTCCACCATACCTGTCCAGTCAATCTCCTACCCTGCAGAAAGCAACTTCCATTTATTTTCTTCCATCCTTTTCTCAGGGGACCAAGTGTTCCTGGACAAAGTCATAAAATAGGGCCAACTGGTTTTTTAATAAATCCACATTTTTCAACCTTAACTGAGACCCTCATTTCTGTTCGGAATTCTTTTGGTCTTTTCTAACCAATTGCCTTTCATATCCCATCTTTCCTGCCCCATTTACCTGAAAACTTTGCACTCTCTTACCCCAAGCCCTCAAATTGACCACTGTCACTTTTTGCAGATGACCTTGCTTTCTCTCTTATGAAGATGGAGATTATTTAATATGAGTTAATTGCTTGGCTTCTCAACTTGTACACTGTTCTAAGCATTACTCATTCATTTGTCTTATGGCAGAGGAAGATGCATGCATTCTCCTCCTCTTCAAGGTCAACTTCTCCGCTTTTGTCTTTGACCTCATTCCCCTTCCTTTCATTTTCTCAACTCTCTCCTTTCTTTCCTGCATATCTCATCTTTTCCATGTGCCCATACAGTGATCTTACTTCACTGTTTTTATAATACATATTTCTTCATTATTGTGATCTCTGAAGTCAGGATGCATTTTATAATTGGTGGTGTTCTGTCTCCCTTACTGGCACGTCAAATAAGGTGTGTCTTACAATCTAAGGCCTTCTTAGACTTGATGGGATACACTAGTTGCTAAGACCTATGGGTTCCTTTTAAGCAATAGCTCTTTGGCCAGTACACCTCATTGTGATAACTTTTCTTCCAAGTGACTGCAAAGCCTGTGATGACACTGTACCCGCTCCAGTGCCTGATTAATATTCCTAAAGCATATCTCTAGTTACTATCCTGTTCAGAAATTCTCAAAGGTTTATTAGAGAGGTGTTCAAAGTCCCCTCTAAACAACCTCATAAAAACCCTAGAAGAAAACCTAGGTAATACCATTCAGGACATAGGCATGGGCAAGGACTTCATGCCTAAAACACCAAAAGCAACAGCAACAAAAGCCAAAATTGACAAATGGGATCTAATTAAACTAAAGAGCTTCTGCACAGGCAAAGTAACTTACCATCAGAGTGAACAGGCCAACTACAGAATGCTGGAAAAAATGTTTGCATCTACTATCTGGACAAAGGTAATATCCAGAACCTACAAAGAACTTCACAACAAATTTACGCAGGAAAAAACAAACACGCTTCAAAAAACGTGGGCAAAGAGATATGGAACAGACCACTTCATCAAAGAGATTGACATTCATACAAGCCAACAGACACATGGAAAAAATGCCCTTATCATCCTCGTCATCAGATAATGGCAAATCAAACCACAGAGGAGTCAACCATCTCAACACCCAGTTAGATATGGCAATCATAAAATTATCGGAAACACCAGGTGCTGGATGAGGATTGTTGAAGACAATAGGAACACTTTTACACTGTTGTGGGGACTGTAAACTAGTTCAACCATTGTGGAAGACAGTATGGGCGATTCTTCAAGGATCTAGAACTAGAATACCATTTGATCCAGCCATCCCATTACTGGGGATATACCCAAAGGATTATAAGTCATGCTGCTATAAAGACACATGCACATGTATGTTTATTGCAGGCACTATTCACAATGAGCCAAAGACTTGGAATCAACCCAAATGTCCATCAGTGACAGACTGGATTAAGAAAATGTGGCACATATACACCATGGAATACTATGCAGCCATAAACAAGGATGAGTTTGTGTCCTTTGTAGGGACATGGATGCAGCTGGAAACCGTCATTTTCAGCAAACAACCTCTACATCTTTATCTGCTACTCCCATATATGCATGCTACCACCTAGGAAAATGGAATAACTCTATAAACTCCTTGCATCTCTATACCTTTCTCTTGCAAGTACATCAGCTTTTTGCCTCCCCCCACCCCGCAGTGCAAATCTTATCTTTCAGGGTACACCTCAAATATCACCTCTTGGCCAATCAAATGTATTTTCTTTGCCCTATGGATCCCACCGCACTTCATCTATTCCTCTCTTATATATCTTTCATCTTGTATTACAGTTATCACTGTATACATCTGTCTTCTGTTGCACTGAAAACCACATGATGCCAGGGTACAAGTCTGACTCATCCTCACATGCACTCCTCACTAATGATAGTGCTGACGAGTCAATAATGATAGACAAAGGCACCACCAACCCAGTGTGGGGGCCTCCAAAAGAAATGGATCTCACAGTAAATGAACTGCTAACAAGCGAGGGCAAATAGGTATTGCAAAACAGATCTTGAAGGATACGTACTAAGGGGTTAGCAATGACTACCTCCAAGAAGTGACAGTGTTGGGGATGGGGGTAAAAACGGAAAATATTGGTGGCAATTAAGAATGATTTTCACTTTTTCTTGGAGAAATAAGAAAAAAATTTTTTAAAATTGACATTCTGCCTTATATACTTCTCTGTTGAATTTCTG